TTTTTTGGTTTTTCAAGACAGGGTTTCTCTGTGGTTTTGGAGCCTGTCCTGGAACTAACTCTTGTAGACCAGGCTGGTCTCAAACTCACTGAGATCCGCCTGCCTCTGCCTCCCAACTGCTGGGATTAAAGGCGTGCGCCACCACCGCCCGGCTCAAAGATGAATTCTCAAGTTCCAAGTTGAGTGTTACATCTTTACACAAGGGTTCCCAAGTACCAAGCATACATGAGGTTTAAACTAACAAACACACCCATACACACAAACACACACACACTCACATTCTGTGGGGAAAAGTATGATGACAGGGTAGAATAAAAAGCAAGAGGCCTCAAATCTGGGGGAGGGGGAGCAGAAATCTAGTAACAAACAAAATTAACCAAACTGGAAGCTAAGGGATAGCACAGCAGTGTCTTTGGCCAAATTACTCTTTCAGCGGAACAAATAGCACCATTTTTGGAAATTGTGGATTCATAAAGTTTACAATTTATAGCTCTCTTCAAAAAAAACTTATTTGAGCGCATATTCTAAAAAAATGAGTCCAAGAGAAAAGACACAGTAACAATAAAAAATACCAACAGAAATATAAAACTCAGGAATTCCACAGCACCAAGGACAAGGAGCACACAAAGAAACAACAGGAGACTTGCATTAACAACCTGAGACATGGGCTGTAGGGAGACATTCCTCTTATGGGGGAATGGATAGATTCTAATTAAGTCTAAATGTTCATACACAAACAAGTTAAAATGTGTTAGAAAATAAGGGTGAGGACATTTGGGAAACAAGAATCCACAGCTTCTTCCTGTCTAAAACCTGAAGAAATGAACCCAAAACAACCATTTAGGGCATTTCTGCCACAAGCACTATGGCTCCAAGGCACCACTTTACAAACAGCTGCTGAAAGCAGTGACCAGGAAGAAGGGAGGCACATCCAGGAAGTGAGGGGTGGTCCTATTCACCACTGAACCAGACTGGGGACATCGTTCTAAAAACCTGCACCAGTAATCCCCAATCAGAAAGTGCAGCTGGGTGGTAGTGGCACTCAGTACCAGAGGCACTTGAGGCAGAGGCAAGATGATCTGTGAGTTCGAGACCAGCCTGGTCTACAGAGTTAGTTCTAGGACAGTCAGAGCTACACAGAGAAACCCTTTCTTGAAAAACCAAAATGAAAAAATAAAAGAAAGTGCTGGCCAGGTAGGGGAAATAGGAGTAAAATGGGGGGGCTGTACATTTAAAACCCCTCTGCAAAGGAGACACATCCTCCACAGTGGCCCATCAAGAGCAAGGCCTGATAGCAGAAGAATCAAAAGAGACACACAGAGCAAAAGTAAGAGACCAGATCTTGCTTTTATGGCAGATTTCCCAAGACCCAAGCAATGACTCAAGTGCTCACCCCTTTACCTAGGGAAGAGAACTAAGGCACCTAGTAAGGAAAAACAGATCATAGGTCTGACAGCACAGGTTCTCCAACAGGTAGGTAATGTGATTAACAATAACTATGAGGGAAAAAAACAGCTTTGTAAGATATAAAAGTCAGACACAGATACAATAATCCAGCAAGCCAGGCAGAGCTTTCCCCACTCAATTAAGTACAATCAAGAGAAAAGTCACACCAGCAAGTTAAACACCAAAAGCAAAAGGAGAAAATAAAAGAGGTTGGAGAGATGGCTCAGTGGTTAAAAAACAAAAATTTATAAATCTATTCAACAATTAAAAAGGGATTTTAAAAGCGAATGGAAAGTTTTTACAGATTTATTTTTATTAGGTGTGTGCACATACATGCATGCATGCACACACACATAAAAGCAGGTACTCACAGAGGCTGGAGGCGCAGATGCTCCTAGAGCTAGAGTTATAGTCAGTTATGTGCTGCCCCGCATAAGTTCTGGGAAACAAACTTGGGTCCCTGCTTAAGCAGGTGCTCTTAACCACCGAGTCATCTCTCTAACCCCATTGAAATTGTTTTTAAAAGCAAAAGCAGTTCGGTTAGATACTACATGATTATAATCTCAGGACGTAGGGGGCTGAGGCAGGAAGAACTAATTTGAATACAACCTGGGCTACATAGGGAGAATGAATCAAAAGAGGCAAGAGGAGAAGAGAAAAAGAAAAAAGAAAATGTCCAGCTAAACAAATAGAACGATAACCATCACAGTATTTATGTATTAAAAACAGCCAAATCTAGAGGACAACTGAATGGGACGAAGGGAAGGTTGGGAATTATCAGACACAAAGAAATAATTAAACCGCTGAGACAAATTATATATGGAAAATGTGTATGGTCTCCACAGCAGAAAACCACAAAGGGCACATGGAGGGAACCAATCAGCTGGCTTGAGGGTACAGGCACTTGCCACCAAACCTGATGATCTGTGTCCAATTCCCAAAACATGGTGGAAGGAATGAACAAAACTCCCCCACAAGCTGCCCTCTTAGCCCGCACAAGGTGCGCACATATGTACACACACTTACCCTTTAGGCACCCACTCTCTCACTCTGAGACAAAGAGAGTGTGTGTGTGTGTGTGTGTGTGTGTTCTTTAAAGTAACTATTGAGACACAAGAGAGACAGGTGAGAAAACAGAAGGAAAGCTACGGTAAGCCCCATTCATGGAAGAGACTGCTGCAAAGACAGCCATTCTTCCAGAACTGACCCATCACATCCATGCAATCTCAATCAAACCTCACACTTGTTTTTGTGAGGACCCCCATTAGCAAAGTCAATTCTAGAGAACCACTAGATAGGCACTCACTGGATAGCAGGTGTCCAGAACAGACAAGACATGGTGACCTGAGAGTCACTGCAACACTGTGGGACCCAAGAGTCTTTCCAGTAAGTGCAGATCAACCAGCAATTCACCATGGGAGACCCCATCTGCAATTATAACACTGGTGAGGCTGAGGCAGGGGGACTCCAAGTTTAAAGCCAACCTGGACTATACAGTGAGTTCAGGCCAGCCTGAGCAGTTAGTGAAAGCCTCTAGGGAAAAGCAACAGTGATACAGCCCCGCAGGAGTATGAACATAGTGTGCATGGAACCCCAGGTTCACCCTCTAGGGAACAGTGGCAGGGGTGGGGTGACAAAGCAAACAAAATACCCCTCGTCTGCTCCACTTCGTTTTACAAACAAAAAGATGAAAATCCAGTCAAACTAAGAACTTACTTCAGTTATATGACTACCAAGCAGCTTCATAATTTTGCCACAGGCAAATCTGAGTATTTTATAATTTCTTAAAAAAAAAAAAAACCAACAACGACAAAGCTATCTTTTCTCATTTTACATGCCAATCCCAGCTCTCACTAAAGGCACCAGCAGCACTTCCACCGAACTGGCCATTACTTCTTAGTATTTCTCTGCTAACAGCTGAGTCCCTTGAATGCAGATAAACCCAACACTCCTTTAAAGATCCCATTCATGTTTGAAAGCATGCCAAGCCAAGCCATATGCCAACTTTCAGAGACATTTTCACCATATCCATAAACAAAGAGAAACTGAGGCAAGACTAAAGGTCACCCAGCAGAAAAGAACTCCTATATTCAAGCTTCAGTGCCCCATCAACACCTGTCCTCAGATCCCGTGAGGTGGTTCAGACATTTAGTAACCTGCCCCTGTAATGATGTAAGAACTCCACGTCCTCCTGTCCCTAGTACTCTGCACCTGCTCTGCTGTCAAGCTGCCCCGCACATGGCAGCAAACCCTTCACCTGCAACCCTGCCTTCAATGCCTATTAAAATGAATCCAAAGAATACCCAGACTCACCTTTGAAGCTGGCTTTGTCTTCATACTTCCATTCTCCACAGCACTAAAATCCAGTTTACCATCATCTTTACTTCCTATAGCTTTTAGTCCTTGTGAAAGAATGTCACGTAAATTTTGATAAAGAGGTTTTTCAGTGTAGTCCAGTAATTTCACAGTTTCCATGTACTTAGCAATTTCACCTAAAACAATGACACATTTTATCACTTTTAGTCACAAACCCAATATGTCTGTCTCATTCCTAAGAAAACAGTCCATGGCCAATGTAAAATTACAATACCAGTGGGCAACATGTTAAAATAAAAATCTTGTTCTCAATCAAAGCTCAGTGCAAAGTATGCTTTTAAGTCCAAAAATTAACAGGTAAGTAAAAGAACATATTTTGAGATACAATGTAAAAGACATTTCTGCAACCATAGAGACAATAAGAGAACATATTCAAACACACATAAAATATAAATATAAAGGAATTCAGAAAGTAGTTTGTCCTGAGCTGTAGTGACCCCAGAAGCTATCAGTCCTGCAATGAAAAGCTGTATACTATGAGGTGAGAATCAGAGCCCGAGAGCAGATTCAAAAGCACAAGACATGGCCAGAGAGGCCTGGGTTTCTGAGTGAGAAGAAACCTACCTGGCAGGATCAGCCCCTTACAAAGAATTTCCCTTGACACACACAGGCATCCACTGCCTCATCATCAGAGCCTTGATTACAACCACTACCACAAACCCCAACTCCTGACCGAGTTAAACACACACACAAACTGCACCCCATCAATCTCTCTGGTGTGTGTCACTGGAAATCTTATCCTCCCAGCTCAAACCAACATCTTTTCAGTCTTCCCTCTACTCAACATGAATATATGATGCTCTTTTTTTTTTTTTTTTTGGCCAGAGCACTATCCATGCACAGATGCACATACCAGTTTAACTATGTAAGTGCCAATGTATACCAGGCTCTATTCTGGACAGCTGAGATACAGCAGGGGCATAGGGGTGGTCTCAAATCTCTACTATCTTAACAAGAAAAAAAAAAGAAATCTGAAACACCCAAGACAGTATGGTCAAAACACACTGTATGAAAACATGAAAAATTAATAAAAATATATTTTTAAAACTCCTGAAACAAACATTAGTATGTCTGGCAAAATAACCAAAAGCTTCTGTGTGAGAGGCAGAGAACTCCACCTTCACCACCATCTACGCAGAACACAAGAGCCAAGTTTGCTTTAGCTGTCATCTAAAGGCAAGAAAGTAGGTCAAAGGGCGTCAGAGCACCTTCAGGAGCAAACAGCATGGCTGGGCTTGCTTCAAGGGCTATGAAAAAAAGGATTTGGTATGCAAACTTATAATCCTAGCTTTCAGGAGGCTGAGGCTGGAAGAGCGCAAGTTCAAGGCCAGCCAGGGCTACACAGGGGAACCAAGTACTGGCACAAAGGGATGGAAGGAAAGGGAAAGGAAACAACAAAGCAAAATTCCTACAGCACAGTACAGAATACAGGGTAAAAATACATAAAAATCTGCCCTATTTTTATATATTGTTAGAACTTGGAAATGAAATGTTCAAACCAGAATACTTAACATAGAACAACAACAAAAAAAAATCAGTTACCCAATGTGACTGTGATGACAGCAAGATTTCTGTGGAGGCCAAAATACAACCAGAATTTAAGGAGGAATTTAATGGAAGAGCCGCCACAGTGGGCTGCAAGACAGGATTACAAAGGCGGTGGCTCTTAAAATCACAGCAGACTCGCTCTGAAGCCCAGCAAACATGAGGGGACTGACAGTGATGTGAAAACGTCAACAGAAACGCAGTCAAGATCAAAGTCAAGGGCTGGAGAGATGGCTCAGCAGTTAAAAGCTCTGGCTACTCCTCCAAGGATGTGGGTTCCATTCCCAACACCCACATAGTAACTCACAACCATCTGTAACTCCAACTCTAGGAGATTCAATGCCCTCTACTGGTCTCTGCAGGCACTAGGCATACCTGCGGTATTTAGAGAAAAAATCCAAACACACAATTTTATTTTTTTGAAACAGTTTCTCTGTGTAGTCCTGGTTGTCCAGGAACTCACTCTGTAGACCAGGCTGGCCTTGAACTCAGAGATCTGCCTGCCACTACCTCACAAGTATTGGGATTAAAGTGTATACCAGTAATTCTTTATTGGAAAAAAAAAAAAAGAAAAGAAAGTCAGGCTTAAACAACAACAACAACATGTAATTACTTAAACCACCAGATACTGCCAGGCAGCAAGACCAAAGAGAAAATTGCAATATCTGATAAGTATAGATGAGGACGAGACAAAAAGAACAATTCGAAGAACAGAGTCCACACAAGAGTTCTGACAAAACACCAAAAGATAAAGGAAGTCTTTAATAGGATACAAAGTCAACTGAATATGACCCTTCTCACACATAGTCAAACTGAACCCCGGGGAAATCAGTCCTGTGCAGCAGACAAGACCTAGATATGCAGTAGCATACATAAACAATGGAATGTAGATATAGCAGAGCAAGCACCACACAGACATACATACAACGGAAGTCTTAGTGCACTCAGCCCAAGACTGAGGACAGAAATGGATGGTAACAGAAGGACACACTGCAGAGTGCTCCCCAGTCCTACCCTCAGCGGTCTTCCCTCAACCAGGACCTAGAGGTAGTTCTTGTCTCTAGAATAGTGGTTCTCAACCTGTGGGCCAGGACCCCTTGGAGGGGAGGTCCAAATGACCCTTTCACATGGGTTGCCTAAGACCATCCTGCATAGCAGATATTTACATTATGATTCATAACAGTAGCAAAAATACAGGTATGAAGTAGCAGTAAAAATAATTTTACGGCTGGGGGTCACCACGACATGAGGTGTATTTAAAGGATCATAGCATTAGGAAGGTTGAGAACCACTGCTCTAAAAAGTAAAGCCATTGGCATCCCGTCTATTTCGAGCTGTAGACTCTTGATCAAAGTAAAAACCAGTGACCTCATGATGACCAAAAAGGACAGTCCTCACATCCTCTAAAGCAGTCTCCCAACCTCCACACAGCTACTTCTTCACCTCCCCCTACAATGTTGCAGTATCCCATCCACAAGACTGTCCTTGGCCATGCTGCTCAAAATTTAAAATCTCTTTCCTACTCTCTGTGCCACCTCTACATTCCCAATTCCATTGCCTGTCTTCTTATTCTCCAGAGGACTAACAACATAATGTGCTAACAAAAATCACTGTTGTGTACTTAGCTGCAGCAAGAGTGCCAGCATCCTGAGGGCAGAGGTAAGATGCAGCCTGCATTAACAGCAGTCTCTGGCACATAATACAACCTCCATAAACACTGGCTAAGTGAACAAAACATGCTTCCCCTGATGAAAGCAAAGAGTAACTAACCATATGAGGCTCCAAAGCCCACTGACCAGCTTGCTGACTGGCTCACTGTGCAGAGTTGCTTTTGGGAAGAAGGCACACCTCCAACAACAGTAACGTCCTAAAATGCCCAGGCTCACGGGCAGAGGGATTTTTCCTTCCAGAAACTAAAAGCTCTGTGAAGGTCTATGGAAACCTTCCCTACCTGGCTTGTTCTTCTCAGGAAAGCACTTCTCCATCAAAGCTGTGACATTGTCCCTGTATCTGTTGAGGAAGGAAGGAATGCTTAGTGACAAGTGCCCAAGTGTCGTTCTGAGCTCAGTCCCCTACCAGGACAGCACAGCAGGCAGTACTTCCAAGAAAAACAGCAAAGTTCAAAGAGCCCTGCCACCTCAGCAGCACCTTCTACTTTAAACATCACTGAGCCAGGTGTGGTGACTGTGACATGCCTATAATAGCAACATTCAAGAGGCTGAGGCAGGAGGGCTGCTCAGCAAAGCACTGCCTAAAAAAATAAATAAAATAAATAATCTAGAAAAAAAAAACAATAGGTCTTGTCAGGAAATTCTGACTAAAATCCTCTGTCCTATCATCACCCAACCCAAAATAACGTAAGATGTTCCTTACCTAATTTTAGAATCTCTAACGTAGTTGGGATCTTTCAAGTTATCCTCCCAAGGAAGACAGCCACTGAGCCACTGGATCATGCAATAACCAAGTATTTCCAAATCGCCACGTCGTGATGGGGCTACAAACACAACAAGATCAAGCAGAGTACAATAGCTTTCTAGAAAGAGACACAGCAGTCCACTCAAGTCTACCTTTCGGCAGAAACATTTGTCTGAATGTAATGAAAACATTGAACACTGGTTTGTATAAAAGAAATATTTATCTACAACTAGTAACCCAAACTGACTTAACTTACTTAACCCAAACTTACTTAAAACTCGCACTGAGAAAACTTAAAGTTTCACACTGCTACTACTGTCTAGGAAATACAAGTCTGAAAGCACCTAACATGCACTGTTATCTTTGGGAGACCAGAAGCTATTAAAATGTTGACACTCTAAATACTGTGAGGTCCACCACAGCAAAAACTGGACTAAACTAGCTTACACAAAAGCTACTCGCCATAAAGGCATAATACATAAGAAACCAGGATGTAGAAAACAAAGCTGCACAGAGGTGAGCTATGGGAACCCAAAGATCCAGTTATCCCTGAAGGCAGGGGCATGCACAAGGGCCTTACCCCACTGTAGGAGCCAAACCTTTGCCCTCTTTCTCATCCCACTCTGCTTCTTCCAGTATTCCTATCAGTCTACTTATTTACTCAGCATAATTAAGTACAGAAATTCAGAAGGAAACATCAGTATAGACCACGGCGGACACACCAGGTCACTGTAGACACGGCAAGCTACTGTGGACACAACAGGCCACTGTGAACATACCCACACCATTGTGCGCATCAATGCTGGTGAACTCCAGTGTGCCATCATGGCATCTTTTGGGATCTTCTTTGTACTCTTTATGAACTCCATCTGGGCAGTACCGATAAGCAAGTCCATAGTCTACCAAGTACACCTATAAATTTCCAAGTGCCAAATTAAAGACAAAAATCAACCCACATGTATCATTCAAAAAGTTCAGGAATAGCCAGGCGGTGGTGGTGCACACCTTTAATCCCAGCTCTTGGGAGGCAGAGGCAGGCAGATCTCTGTGAGTTCGAGGCCAGTCTGGTCCACAAGAACTAGTTCCAGGACAGGCTTCAAAGTTACAAAGAAACCCTGTCTCGAAAAAACAAAACAAAAACAAACAAAAAAAAAAGTACAGAAACAAAATACAACCACTTGGGGGTAAATTAACCTACGAGGGCAAATAGCAGCTCTCCAAACATGTCAAATCTAATATGAACACTGTAGAAGTACTGAATCAACCCCTACCTCCTCTGGAACGCTGGGAACTGCATCTAACGTTTCATAAATGCTCAACATGAGCTCTGCCACTGAGCTATTATCTCTGAGTAATTCTTACCTTTTTTTTTTTTTTTTTTCATTTTCAAAGCAGGGTTTCTCTGTGTAACTTTGGCTGCCTTGGAACTCACTCTGTAGATCAGACTGCCCTCAAACTCACAGAGATCTACCTGCATCTGCCTCCCAAGTGCTGGGATTACAGGTGTGAGTCATCATTGCCCAGCCCTAATTCTTACTTTTAAGAAATCTTATTTTGTTTGCAGTATTGAGTCTAACTCAGGACCTTCCTCTGCCACTGAGCTACCCAACCCTCTCACCCAACAATTTTTACTTTTAATAAATGTGAAATGACCATGAAGCGACAGTTCTTAGAAACTATTTCACTTTGTATATTTTCTTAGAAAAGTATGCGCTAAACTTCTAACTAATCCTGAGCAAGGCTTACTGGTGTCAAGTTTTTCTTAAGAGTCTAAAACATAACTACCACACAAAGTAAGCTTTCAAGACAAAGTAAGCTTTCAAGACTCCACAAAGAAGAGAGAGATGAACAATGTCAGCACACAATACAACAGCTGTCTTCTCGATTCTTTACCTGCAGGCCTATTTACATCATAATTATTCAAGGACTAAAATAATATTCAAAACTCTTATATGAGGTCTTTACCTACAGTTTAAAATACTACATATAAAGTCGAGACTTCAAGATTAAAGCTAATTTGGAATGCAGACAGAGGAATCCAATGAGCAACACACAACATTAGTACATGTGGCACCCATCTGATAGCCACACACACCCGATTCTCTGTCACAAATGCAGGCGCCCATATACATGTGAGCACAAAGACGGGCTGAGTACTGGGAAAGTAGCCATCCATGCGTGCCTGAAAGGTAGGAGAGACGCACAGGACTAGGCAAGTCCCTCCTAATCCGGCTAAAGGGACCTCTACTGTTCAGGTTCTTAGCTGTGTTCAAGGAAACAGCTCAAATGAGATGGCTGTGGAGAGGTGAACCCTGCAATGCCTCACAGAGCGCCCCCAGCACAGCAACTCTTTTTCTTTTGGTGCACTACACACACCCCTGATGATCTCCATAGCCTATCGAGGGGAAGCAAACACAGTGTGGTAGAAATGGAGGCAATCAAAAGAAAAAGGGAAATCTAAGCCATAGATGGTTGCAAACAGGTAGCTCTATGAGAAAGTCAAGTTCATAGAATGTGGACGGACCACTGCACCAAACCAAGCACTCAGAACTTCCTTCTTATACAACACCAAGAAGTGCCATTCCAGCATCTTCCCTGCATAAAACATGGAAATGGCTACAAGCATCCTGTATGTCACTGACAACCGAGCTGACTCCAACACAGGTATACAATAGAGCTTTCTCCTCTTAAACACAAAACTGCAAAGGGAACGAAGCAGACTGAAAATGCACACCTGCACTGTGCCCTAAGGACAGACAAGTTCAGACTGCTCTGGTACCAAATACCAAATACCAAACTTTCCGAGTAGCAGACACATCTGATGGAGCTCTTGAACAAAGGAAATTTAAAAAGGTGACAGAGCGGACAGGCAGATCTAATTCATTGGTGTACTATATAATTTTAAGCTTCCACCCCCAAATAGCTATTTGAAATTCATTTTGTATCAAGTACTTCTGAATATTATTTAGGACAAATCAGCCAACTTGATAAAGTGCCAGCAGTTCAAACTGCAGCAAAAATGCAGAATGGCAACTATATAAAAGTGTCTGAAGAAACAGCACTGTTAGTGTATCTACAAAAAAAAAAAAAAAAAAAAAAAAGAAGCAGAGCCTGTGGGGGGGTTCAGTCCAGAGCACCCTACTTGCCCATGCAGCATGTTTTACAACAGCAAATACTGAAGTTCTAAGGACCTGGTCAGGGTTCTTGTAGCTCAGAAGAAGGTTGGAGGCTTTGATGTCCCCGTGCACATACTCATGCTCGTGGATGTATTCCAGGATATCCAGCTATGGAGAACACACACAGTAAATTAATGCAGTACCAAACACGGCCAGCAGAGGACTGAGCTGTGACAGAAACAGCCCTTACTGCATCCACAAGGATCAGAGCTCACATACAATTCTTAAGCTTAGCTGCAAAACAGTTTTCCGAGAAAACCTTTTGGCATTTGCTTCATATATTTTCTGAAGGTCACTCCCAAAGCGGTCCATTATCATAAACCTGTAACTGAAGACAAACAAGGAAAGTCAGTGAGGGAAATAACTAGGAACATGCATAGCAATGAATATTCTCCCTTCAGATTATGTCAAATTATGCCTAATAAGGCAGTATTATAAAAGAGGAGGAAAGGGGCATGAACACATACCATAAAGATTTCTCCCATCTAGATAGAAATCTCAAGAATTCAGACTGCTGTACTGTCCTGTCTTCCTGGGTCTAAACCAGTTTTACAGGAGACAACACTCAATTTAAGACAATGCCCACAGAGACTTGAGCAGACCCATCTATAGTGAAACACATCCACTTGGCTTTTAGTGCGGGCACTGGTTCTTCTTCTGAAGTTAACTGCTGTTTCTAAACAGGAGCGTCCTCCTGTGACTGTGTCTCCATTTTTAATGTATATTTCAGCAATAAAATGCTCTGTTAAATCTAGGCTGTCAAGAGGTGTTTTAAAAATCACATTCAGTAAAACTGTCCAAATGGTATAAAGCGACTATGTATTAAACACTCAATGGTCAAGATTTGGAAATGAAATACCCTGCAGAAATGACAAATTTTGGTTTTACCATTTACCTGCGTGTCACCTTGACCAGGTGATATTACTTCCTCAAGCCATAACTTCTAGAAATGAAATGAGGTGGGTCTCATCCTTCCTAGGGATTCGAACTCTAAGCATGTATATGAGATGCACTAGAGACCTGTAATGGCACTGCTCAACTCCTCTAAATGTCACTCTCTCCTTCAAGAGCTGGCCGAAGTCTACTGTGTCTACTGAAATCATGAAGACAGACACACAAGACAAAACTCCCCATGGGATGAGCACACAGCCACAGAAGTCAGCTGGTGCACTCGCCAGGCAGGCGCTCTTCCATCCTATTTTACAGAAGAACATTTTAGTGCCCTCCCCTCAAACCAAGTGGGCTCATGGTTTGAACCACTGTCTTCCACACACTGGAATAATAACAGTGTACAACACAAAAGTCACACTTTCATAATGTAGGTTTTTATGACAATAAAATATGGTGAGTTACAAGGAAACAGACAGCTAATACTAAAAGATGGTGTCATAATATAAAATAAAGGATCCTATCCATTTTTTGAACTAGAAGAGAATTAGAGACTCTGTACATTTTTTTATTAGATAGTAATGTTTTAGGAGGTAAAGTTTATGTCAAAGTCATACTATCAAGTACGGGCAAAATATCCATTTGTATTAAGATTCCCACAACCCTGGCCTCTAATATAATAGAGAACAGTCATGTGACTTCCCAATATAGGTAGGCAGGCTTTGCAAAGTTGAGAGAGGAGCCTCTTCCAAAGAGTTGGCCTGTGTGATCATCACAAAACTGAATAACAGTGTAACCTTTGACCTTTGCCAACAGTCTGTGCCCTAGGGTCACTACTCCTGTGATGAAGCACCATGACCAAAGCAACTGGGGAGAAAAGAGTTTATTCAACCTACACTTCCACATCATTGTTTATCATTAAAGGAAGCCAGGGCAGGAACTCAAGCAGGGCAGGAACCTGGAGGCAGGAGCTTAGAGACCAAGGAGGGGTGCTGCTTACTGGCTTGCTTAGCCTGCTTTCTTATAGAACTCAGGACCACCAGACCAGGGATGGCACCACCACAATGGGCTAGACCCTCCCCATCAATCACTAATGAACAAACTGCTCTAAAGGCTGGCCCTATAGATCGATCTTATGGAAGTATTTTCTCAATCAAGTTTCCTCAGAGTCTGGAAGATGGGAACACTGTCTGATCAACACAAGGTCCACCACTAAAGCAGATTAACCAGGCCTTTGCTTTTACATGCAAATCACCCTTTCACTAACTCTAAACGAACAGCCCTAACATCTTCTCAACATTCCTAAATTATAAACAAATGACACACACAAACTGTTAGCATGTTCTCCTGAGAGAGAGAGCTCTAAGACTGAATATTAAGAGAAAGCTGCTTCCAAACATGTCAGGTAAGGCCTCTGATGCTTTCTTTTTCAGGGACTTGGCTAAATGCTTCAAGTAATGAAAAAATATTAATTAGAACAAACAATTCCCAAATGGCAACAGAAGTATTTTTTTTACAGTCCTCATACTGTCCTAATCACTCCCCATCACTCCCAAACAAGTTAAAGGAAAAGTAAGGATGGCTAGCAGGGGAGGCGGCTGGAAGAATCCTATGTTCTATTTCTTCACTTCTGAAAGACTTATGTGATTATTTTTAGTGCTTCAACCTACAGTCAACACTTCATCCACGACCAGTCTGAGTCTCGTGCTCCACTGAGGAAGGTCTAGTAAGCTCAGTTTCAGAAGGAATGATCATTACTAACAATAAACTGAGACGCAATGGAGACTCGCTCAGCTGTAGTTACCCACTCTGAGTCCTCTGAAGCTCCTGTCAGGTACCCTTTGAACAACCAGCCTTCCACCCACTACCTCTCTCTCTGGATTCCAGGGAGCCCCAGACTCCCTAAGAGGAGATGCATGGCTCTCTAGTAAATAAAACTGGCAGGCTTACACACTGGTTGCCCCATTCTCAAGTCTTTGCTAATACAGTACCAATTTGGCTTGGGCATTCCCTCCCCTTCCATGTATCAGTGAAACCAAGAAACTTGTGTGACCTGTGTGGCTTCTTGGACCTTTCCTGTGGCAGGTTTAAGCATAAGAATTACAAAACTGTGACCAAGAAAATGTATAAGGAAGTCTCACAGGACTCCAGGAGAAGTTCCTTGATAGGAAAACTGACAAGACATTGACACCAATTTCTGACACTGGCACCGTGTCTGCATGTGAGGTCCAAAAATGGAACAGCTTCCCCAGTGACACAAAAGGATACTAACAGAGAGCTAGACAATGAGGGTAACTGTGCAAGACAAGCAAAGATGTACCTACAACCCCAGACTCAGGAGGAGCAGGCCAGAGGACACTGTCAGTCTGGGCTCTGCAGTGAGCTGAGGTAAGTCTAGAAAGCAAGACCTTAGCTCAAAAAAGGACAAGCCATGGAATTAGGCTTTGGTGACTGCTTAAAACAGTGGAGTCACAGTTGTTCTTCACTTAATACAAACACACTCTAACTAGTAGGCCTCCAGTTTCTGACTAGGTCTGGCCTTCATGGTCTCTCCTACAGGTTTTGAAAAGAGCAGACTGCACAAGGCATTAGAGGTTTTCTTCAACTCCAACTCCTAAGACATCTAGGAGGAAAGGGTTACACAAGTTAGCACCCAGCTTTTCTCCCATGTTTCAGAAATGTTGTCTCTAAACGTTTGTCACCTCTAACCAGCTAGACTAAAGCTCTCATAAAGAACAAGGCTCTAGTCTCCATGAATGATTAGACATTCAATATGAGATATCAAATGGGATCCTGAGGGATCTTTTGCATAAAGAATGGAAGAGGCAGGGTGCACTCTTTTGGTTTTGTTCCTGTCAATGGAGCTAGCCACCTGACACTGCTCCACTAGTTAGGCTGCCCCAAACTATGGTGGATAGAGGGAAGCAGAGTTCGATCTTAACCCTCCCCTCTGCCGCCCTACAGCCCAGATGTACACCTAGTTTTTGTGGGTGTTCAGCAATAAATTCCCAACTAAACCAACCCAACAAGAAATGCTTAAAATGTAGATTTTTACCTCTTTCCATTTTTATCATGTAGACCAGATCCCCAATACTTAGGAACACCAAGGTACTTCAATTTATGTGTACGAATCCATTTCTGAACTAGAAGTTGAAAGAGAGGCCTGTGATGACAACTTCTGTATGTAAATGGTCATTTCAAAACAAATGACTAAGAGGAGAGCATACGTACATGAGCAACAAAACCACTCCTACTCGTAACAGGATGAGAAGAGCACAGAGGAACACAAAGTATCATAAAATTTCTACCAACCTGCAAAGCAGTGCTCTGCTGTATCCTTGTCTTGAACTGGCCAGCTGTGAAAGCAGTTCTGAAGTGCACAGCAACAGCACCGCCTAATGACGTGGTTTGCCTGCTTCCCACCCCAATCTCTAGAAACACAGGGCTGTCTCCTTCAGTATTACATCTCTTCCTCACCTTGCAAATCAAGATGTCGGAGACACGGAGGTGCTGCTCCCACTCCCCTACTGTAGGAGTTGGGGCCTCAGATACACAAGAGATGAGAGCAGCCAGGAGGCTGTTCACTGCACTTGGTCTCAGCAAACCCAGTGCCCACCCCTGTTCATGTGCTTCAGGTTTTAGCAAAATGCTCAAAAGAGTTAGAGACCATGTACTCGCACTTGTCAATTAAGGTAATTCGTATGTTTCCTAGGCCATATACCATTGATTATTCATATACCAACAAACCAAACAGCAATACATCAGAATGACTTCCTGCAAATACCATTTGAATGGAATTTGTGTATGAAGCAAACGCAAACAGAGCCACAGGATGTGACACTTTAACCTAGCTTATGTGAAATTAAGTCAGGCAAACTGCTTATTTTTACATATTTAAACCTTTAACAAGACAATTTTAAACATATCTGTTGTTTCTTACTTTGCTCTGGTTTAGCAGCCCGCTGGTAAAACTTCAATTCAGTGAAAAGAGGTCCATTGTCACTGGGTTCCTTAGAATACAAGAGTCAATTAAAATTACTGAATTATTTTCACTGAGCCTTCAAAAATGGAGTAAATCTAATTTTTCCTACAACAAAATGTAACTTTGGTACTTAAATTTTTAAGCTATTAAAAGATTAAATTCAACTCCTTAGAAATATTTTCCGTGTTCTCACAATAATCTTTATTTCTCTGAAGCTCAACTTTCATAAGTGATGAATTATCAAAAATTTAGTTCTCTCTGCAGAAGTTTAAGACAAATATTTAAACTAATTTTCATCTTTATTAAGCAAAGGCCAGCAACCATGCTAAATGTATCACCACCAAGGGCCTACAAGACATTCCCGAGATTTAATAAGATTCAACCCTGATTTAACCAACTAAGGCTGGACTCCCATTCCTTTCCTTCATTCTTCCCTTGGTTCTACCTAGTTATCAGAACCAGCAGGAATGGATCTGGATCTCCAGGGCAAAACAGCACTCTGCTCTTTGCTTTCTGACACTGACTCCTATGTTTCTCAGACAAAGAAACCTCCAACTTTTGTAAAGTCAAAAGGAAATTAGAGCTAAATAACTGTTTTCCCCAACTTTACTGAACAGTATCTATTTCCTATTTCAAGGGATATTAACCATTTGAATTATTTGTAAAAAAACAAACATGTACAAAGAGATATCTTACACAACAAGAGATAACAGCCCACGTTGTCTAATAAATATGGATAAGAAATAAGCTATAATTTTGTTGGCTTTTTAAATACTGAGTTTGGTCTGGCTTATTGATAAAGTAGTATTTACTTAATGTTTGATATTTTATATGATTTTAAAGGAATGACAACTTCAACTAGGAAAGCAAACATTTCTAAACTAATCTGAGCAAAGTATTTTGGACAGAAAACCTGCACGGCTGAAGTTAAGGTTCAGAGCTCATTAGAGCTGGTAAAGATCTGAGCTGCAGCTCTTCCCCACTTCAGCAACATCTGCTCCAAACCCTGAAAATAAGTACATCTATATTTTCTCCACTGAAGAAACCCTCCATTACTACAGAAGTTAATTTGGGTCCTTGAGATGTCAATTAAAACCTTTATTCCATAGACAGTTCTCTCAGCTCACAAGTCTCCAGGTAACATGTCTACCTGACTCGACTCATCGGCAATCAAGCATACCTAACTCCAGAGAGCATGTAAGTCACAAATGGGCAACGCTCAGATCAGAAAGAACCCAAACGGTTTGCCATACTTGCTATAGCTCAGCCTCAGGAAAGCAGTGTTCAAGGTACGTCACCAAGCTCTGACCCAGGATCAAGTCCCTGTACTCAAGTGCAAATGTCAAGGGCCTAACTGATGTGCTAAAGCAAGAAACTCTCCCTACCTGTTTCTCAGCTGCACCAGGAGCCAGAAACATGAGCAAATGGGATTGAGCAAGTCACAGAATAAGAGAAATTAAAGAAAAAGAATTTTGGTTAACTTTTAGAATGACTCATTAATAAAACCCAGACTTGAAGGACACTTTCCCAAGACCACTCCTGGCTTACTACCAACAATGTAAAGCTTTTGATTTATTCAGTTTCAGCCTACATCCTATCAACTTTAATTTTCAAGTTTCTTTCAAGCAATAATTTATTAAACTTCTAATGTGACTCAACCATATAAATGAGAATGTTATAATGCAGACTTTCTGAGCACTTTCTTACATTAGCTATCCGATAGGCTTCCAATATGACAAAGTAAAGGAACTACTTCTTGGCACTGTGCTTTAGCTGAAGTGAGCTATCTGTGGAGAAAATACCTTATCTCAGAACTAAAATTGTATTAACATATTTCAAATCTAAAATACTTTGCCAACTCTATAATAGCCAAGATTTAGAAAAGAAATTGGGACTGACATTTTAACTAGAATATCACTAAACGTTTCCTTAAGACTTCTAAGTGTCAAAATGACGATGACAACAGGAAAAAAATTAAAATGTGATATATTTCAATGGCACCATCCAAAAGCAACTGGCTGCCATTTAAAAATGAAGCTGTACAAAGTTTCTCCTTCTTACCAAAAAAATTAAGATATCTGAATTGAAAATTCACCACACACATCATAACATCAGGCAAAGTCCTTCCCAGGAGGCTGTGAGATAGAGACCATCAGTTCTCCCAGAAAGGACCACCAAGCACCAGCTCTGGGTGACACAAACTGGAAGCTATCTTCAGGCTTCCAATTCTGTTCCCACAAAGGTGAGAATGACTCAAAGAACTAATTCTTACTAAGTCTTCGGTTAGCTGTGGGAGGGAGGAATTAGAAAAAAGTCTGCTCATATTATCCAGTTTACTTATTTACTACTTCTTCCTGACCACCTAATTTCATATGCACACACGTGTGTGCCCACACACACACACACACAGCCTCTGAAAGTAGAAATAAGCTAACTTATGACACAGAAGCACTATCCTATAGCACCTTGCATCAGTCAAGGTTGAAGAAGGCCCTAAGCACACACAGGAGGCAGTGTGTGGGAGATGCTGAGACATCTAACGTGCATGTGTGTCTTACATTCACACCAATGCCAAATGCAGGTCTACAGCGCTCATTCACAAAGCAAGCATGTCAGAAGTAACCAAGTTCTCAAGGTGGAGACTCAGAGCAGAAGCATGGGAAAGGATCTCAGAGTCAAAGTCCAGATCTGGAGACATAATCCCATCCAACATGAAAATGGTTCACAATGCGGCAGGTTCTAATCTGGATCTCCACCTGACTTATCAAGGCTTGGTTAAAGTTATGTGATTACATAACTTTACAGTAAAAATCAACTTAGCTGTATGTCTTAAATAACTTGCCCATTTTTGTTCTAAAAATAAAAGGCATGCTCATTTTTCCAATGCACAAGTATCGTGGTGTGTCTCTTCATAGAACCATCTTATATAGACCCTTACATACTAAACTTCACATCTTGCTGTTCTGGTATCGTGCCCAGGCAGTCATTCATGTTCTCTGAAAACACAAGCCTTAGCTAGCACTGCAGCAGCCACAGAAACCTGCCTAGCAGCCAGCAGGCTTTGCATCCATTTCAGCACCGCACATACAAGCACCTGTCACAACCCTCATGTTTATGTCTGAATGGCAACTGTTCTGGTTTTAATGCAGAAAAGGTTTATTAAATCCTACATGCTTGTATTTGATGTCTACTTCCACTTTGAAGACTACAAAGCTATAAGAAGAGAAATGATGATCCAGTCTATTCCAAATAGAGAAAGGTGACTCAAAATGATAAAAGTAAATGAACAGAAAAAAGGTAAAAGGGGATAGAAAATTATACCTTAATAAACAAACAAACAAAACAGAATGTAAGAACTGCGTAAGTAAAGGACATTTGAAAAAAGGTCATATTGAGTAACTTAAAATCTACTTAGATTTTAGAGAAATACACACAAATTTCTGAATGGCATCATAAGGATATTAAAAGTAAAATTGTATAATAAATGACAATACAGTGATTGACACAGGAATTTAAAGGACCCAAAGGTTTCAGTCACCAAGAGAACAGCAGCCAACTATGCCTGGACTCCCCTCTGAAGGCTGGGCAGCTGTTCTTCCTGGACCACAGCCCACACCGCTGGAAGAACTACTAAACTATGAATCCCAGGAACCCAAGCACTCGTCACCATCTCTAGTATAAAGAGAAGAACAAAGGGCAACAGAAGACACAGAATACTAGACTAGGTCTGAAAATAAACATCCTTGAAACTTAGAACTTCAATGTGCTCTGATTAATAACGAAATACTGATCCTACCCATTTCCCCTCAGCCAGGTAAGTAAAAAAGGTGAAAAGTGAAGTTCATTCCACTTACAATGAAGCTCAAAGTTCTAAGGTAAAACGGGCTGCCAGAGGTTCAGCTCACACAGAACAGAACAAATGCCCATCACTTAGCACTCTCCTTCTAAGAGTTGGAGACAAGTATGCAAATTAGCCAGCTGCAGAGGGTCTGAAAGCCTGGACCAGTTTGCTCCGCAGTCTTGAGTCATAGGAGGCTTACTTCCTTCTCAATGGAATCCTCTGAAGACACTTAGAAACTAATCTTACCCACAGGTGTCATGCTTCCGTCTGTACAGACAACTCCCCGCAACTGATGCACATGACTAGTGTCACCCTAAGAACTCTATTTCCTCCGCCTGCCAGCAAACCCAGCAGTTCAGAAGGAACGCCATTCCACAAGGAGAAAGAAAGCTCCAACGTGGAAGGACAGGAGACAAGGGAACAAATGGTAGGAGACACAGACACAGGCACTAATTAACACGCCACACAGGATAGGCAGAGGCTGACTAAGGCCTATAAATAAAGGCTGTGGAAGCACTACCTCACACACTCCACAAAAGCGCTCAAGACCTGCCTCCACTCTAGAAGATGAGACACGAGTGCACACCCAGAGGTCCTTGGGATAAGGAGCCAGTGCAGCCACTGGGAATCAAACAGCCAATGCTGCTGATAACAAAGCTGGTCAGACTCAAAGAGTCTAATATAGAAATACTTCTGGAAAAAGTAAAGACCATGATGCCTTATGAATAAAGACACAAAAGTCCTGAGCAGGGGCTGGAGAGATGGCTCAGAGGTTAAGAGCATTGCCTACTCTTACAAAGGTCCTGAGTTCAATTCCCGGCAACCACATGGTGGCTCACAACCATCTGTAATGAGGTCAGGTGCCCTCTTCTGGCCTGCAGACATACACACAGACAGAATATTGTATACATAATAAATAAATAAATATTTGAAAAAAAAAAGAAATGAAAGCGGTGTCATATTTGTTTATTGAAAAGCTGCTTTATGTGTATTAACGTTTGCCTGCACCATGTGGGGGCCTCTTACAGGCAGAGGGTGGGATTGCNTATACATAATAAATAAATAAATAAATAAATAAATAAATAAATAAATAAATATTTTAAAAAGAGCACTTGTTGTTCTTAAAAAAAAAAAAAAAAAAAGTCCTGAGCAAAGCAGTTCCAAACTACATAAGAAGCCTACCTACTTCAGTCTACCTAAATGGGGTATATGCTACAGCTTTAGTTCAGTATCAGAAGCCATATTAACCAAAGAGGAAAAGAATCTAACAAGTCAGCTAAAAAGATATATAAAAGCATTTTAAAATGAACAAGTCAACTATAAACTAGAAGGAAATAGTTATAACACACATATCAGAAAATAAGATTTAGCCAGAATAGCTCATCCTACTCAACTATAAAAGGCAACACAACCCAGTTATTATAAATAATTTTCTTAAGAAGCAAGAGACTGAAGAAGCACTTATCACACAAAACTGCACAAATGGTAAAGACACTCAAGGAAAGGGGGCTCACTTATGTGCTTGGAAGTAAACACAAACTGAAACCACAAGACACCACCGCAAACCTTCCATAAGGGCTAGGAAAGTAAGCAAGCTCACAAAGCTGGGCACACCCACTGTGGGCTGTCCGCAACCACTGGCGATGTGAAAACCTGCAAGTCACTTCGGAAATAGGTCCGGAACTTTTTAAAAATGTAAATGTTTATCCTTCCTACAGAGAAGCGATTCAGCTTCTAAGAGAAACAAAAGCCTATCCCCACCAAAAGATCCTCCAACAACCTACATGGAAGGTTTCTTGACAGTAGCCCGAACTGTAAACAGCCCAAATGCCTTCAGCAGGTCAATAAAGTGCAGTAGATGACTGATAAACTAAAAATACAGTGATCCTTTACAAATATCATGCTGAACATACAGCACTTTATCTCGCATAAACTCTAGACAGGGGAAGTCACTGAGAAGGGGACAGGGCTCAAACTCGGACACAGAGTTCTCTAGAGGCAGCAGAGAGGAGAGACTGCTTGCTCTACAAGGGGCAAGGGTGACACACTTGCACATGCCTGTCACGTGTCTTCAAATACTGATTTATTAGCTTAATGTGTACTGGAAAATTACACTTCTTAGTAAATGTTTTTTTACAAGCTCACTAAAACAAGAGCTAGCAATAGCTTAGCAGTTAAGAGCGCTAGCTGCTCTTCCAGAGGACCTGGGTTGTATTCCCAGGACTCACATGGCAGCTCACAACCATCCTCCAGCTTCAGAGGATCCAATGCCCTCTTTAGCCTGCAGGGCACCAGGCACACACATGGTTTACAGACAGAGGCAAGAAAACACACATCAAATAAATAAATTAGAAAAAAAGGAAAAACCCTCTCAATTCTAGTCTAAATTGGCTCCTACAAATATATTTATATTTGAATACAATAAAATGAACCGACAAATTCTGAGGCACTTCTAACTCCCAGGATCTATAACTTTAGTGAAAAAAAGATGACAGGGAATGGGCACTCAGCTCTCCACAACCTCCTCTGCTGGCTCTATTTAACAAGGGTCTACACATGTATCAAATACGGGGTGAGGGGAACTACAAGCTCTGCTGAGCAGAACAATGTCTAACTGCAGAGAAAACAAAAACGGTGATTAAATATAAAGATGCCTCAGTTCTCCAGTCTGTAACTGGCCTAGTTACTCAGGGTCCAGTGTGGCGCTACCAATCCCTGCACATGCAACTAACTGCTGCATAAGAACAGCAAAGAAGGCCCTGCTACCCCAGGGGAGAGAATCACAACTACTTAAAATGAACATGGAAGGGAATAAAACTGACAGCAGGCAAAATAAATAAATATACGGATGGATGAATGGATGGACAGAAAGGCGAACAGACAGATAGAGGGACGGATGGATAAAAAAAACGCCCCGGACAAAAATACAAAAATAAAAATCAGCTTAGCATGATGTTCCGGGATATAAATATAAAATGTGCCTGCCTGGTGTGAAACAGATACTTCCACCCCTGCAGACCTCTGTCATTTCCCACATACCCTCAAATTGTGCCCCTCTAGTTCAGGGGAGCTGAAGACTCTGAACTCAAGTTACTTAAAACTATAAAACTACTTATGTACTTCATTAAATATTTATGAAACATAATTAACAATGCAATACCTTATGGTTTAATTCTAGTCATCAAAAAGATGTTTTACAAAATAAATCCCAACTTACACTGATAAAAGAAAAAATGAGCAGTATTTTCTTACCACTTTCACAACACAGGGTGCGTCACTGCCAACCGGTTTGGAAGAATTGGTGTCCGCTGTTTAAAGAGTAAGACATTCACATCAGAACAAGCAGTGTTGCACAGACAGCAAATGACAGACACATAGGCCTACAGCCCTGCAGCCCTGTGAAGAGTGAATCCCAGTCGCCAAGTGGCATTTCCCAGCATCACTACAACACTGCCCCTAGTCAAAGACTTCTTCATGTGTAGACTGTATCTAGCAGTTTTTGATTTCTTCTATTTGGTCAGCCGATACAAAGTTAAGGCTATTTCTTTTATACAGAAGTCCTCTGGTCATTGGTATGTTGTACAGTGAATCCCTGGAGGATGCAGACTGGTGAAAGCCCAGGGTCTAACAAGCTATATAGCCCTTTAGGAAAGAACAGCCAGAAGCAGAGGTGCTGACCACAGACACTAGTTATGCAGAGCAATACTTGGGGCACCGCCATGCAGAACGGGAAGCCTTTCCAAACTCATCAGCAAGTACCTACACTGTGACATTTTCTAAGAAATGGAAATTTCCAGCTGGGCGGTGGTGGCATATTCCTTTAATCTCAGAACTCGGCAGCAGAGGCAGGTGGATCTCTGTAAATTTGAGGCCTTCCTGGTCTACACAGTGAGTTCTAGGATAGCCAGAGTTGTTACACAGAACCCTATCTCAAAAGCCACAGAGAAACCCTGTCTCGAAAAACCAAAAAAAAAAAAGGGGGGGGGGGTAATTTGCAAGTGGACAGAGGAAAAAAAAAACAGTTCTTCTGGCTGCCATTTGAGCAGTAAAATACAAACATCACATAAAATATAAAGCATGTTTGATGTGATAGGAGAGATGGAATTTTAAACAGTGAAGGGGGTAGGCAGTGTTGCAGTTTATTAAGAAGAGCCTGGGGTATCGCTAAACCATGAAACAGTTTAAGCCACAGGAATTCCCAGGAAGAGCATTCTACACCCCCATATGGGAGTGTTACAAGCATTTGTAAAGCCAGGACACCAATGGACAGAGAAAGACCATGATATAAAAAGGGCAGAATACCCATTAAAAAGCAGCAGGGATCAAACATGAAGGGCTTAACAATGTCAAGGTTAGGACTGCTGCTGTAACAGAGACAGGAAGCCTCCAAGGTTTTGCCAAAAGGACTAGCATAACCCAACTTTGATGGGGCTGCTTGGGAGAACTGTGTGCAGGCAAGCCAAGAACAGAAGCAGGCAGAGCAATGAAGAGATTTGATAGTATAGTAGGTGGGGCAGAGTGTGCTCTGACAACTGCATGGGCCCATCAAGGTGGTGCTAGCAGACTGTGGTCATAGACTCAAAAGGCAGCTAACAGGACCTCGATGCAGGACCAGGATGCAGAGGAAGAGACGCTTCTAGGGTTTGGGCACAAAACTGCATCAAAAGCTGCAAATGGAGAAATGCAGGAGAGTACTTTGGGGTATCTTGTTTGGGACACTTACTAATCCAAGTTCAGATGTTGCTATGGTTTGAAACTAAAATGTCCCCAGACTTGTATTTTGAACACTTATGCTCATCTGATGGTACCCTTGAGAGGCAGCAAACCTTGAACAGGAAGTAGGTTACTGGCTGAGGACCTCTGACAGTTACAGCCCCCCTAGTTCAGACTAACACTCTCTGCACCCTGGTCTGCTGCACTGTGGATGGCTGTCCTCCACTCCTGCCACTACCAGGTTCCCCTCATACGTATGAGCTGCAACTCTAGACTCAAGGTCTGTGAGCCAAAGCAAATCCTCCCCTTTAGGGTGTCTGACCATAACAAAACAAAGCTGCTGATGCAGATCTTAGTCACCACTGCATATGTGTCTCAAAATCTTAGTGATTAGCTGAGAAATGCTACCTATCAGGTTGAGGATCTAGTTCAGCAGAATAGCACATCCATCCCTGCATAGGTGAGGTCTAGGTTCAGTCTCCAGCACAGTTTAAATGAAGAGACTACTTATTTAGAGCCTCACATTATTTATTTAGAAATCTCCTAAGGAACAAACAGAGAGAGAAAAGAAATGCTAGGACAGATCGCAAAGGCACCCCTACCTCGGAATAGAAGATAGGCAGACTGAGAAAACAGAAAATAAAACCAAACAAGAGTTGCAGCCAAAGCACTTCAAACACAGGACAAGCACCAGCTTCTAGAAACACTCACTCAGTGAAGAAGAGCTCTGAGCTCCCTAAGAACAGCCCCAGGGAGCAGCACTTAGATGCTGAATTAGGAATAAGGCAGGTTCAGAATCTTTAACAAACATGAAAATGAAGATAGTCTCTCAGTACTACTGCACACTCCAGTGAGAAGAGACACAATGTTTCTCCACAACACACGCACACACTATGCCAAACACAAAGAAGACAAGAGCTATGCCGTGTCAACAAGGAGGTTTACCCTGCAACTGAGAAAAGTATTCACGTGTGGGAGGCATCATGAAAGAGGAGCCCTGCCCGAAGCTCAGCTTTGTAAAAGGAAAGCAACAAGCTCTGTGTAAAACCAAAATGGAGAGAGACTCAATGCTTCCAAGTTCAGACATTATACACAATTGCTACCACATCAGGCAGCTTCAATGTATCAGTGTACACAGCAATGAAGGCATCAATCTTGAAGCAAATCCTCCTTCTCTACACAGAGAGCAAAGTCCTAACTCACAGATTGTTTGTTAAGTATTAAAAATACTCAAATCCAAGAACACGTCAGAACCATCATCTACCATGACCACAGATGCAGGATGGTTCAACATACGAAAATCTGTCAACGTAATCCACCACATAAACAAGCTGAAAAATAAAAACCACATGATCATCTCATTAGATGCCGAAAAAGCTTTTGACAAAATACAACATCCCTTCATGATAAAGGTCCTGGAGAGAGCAGGGATACAAGGAATATACCTAAACATAATAAAGGCAATACACAGCAAGCCAACAGCAAACATCAAACTAAATGGAGATAAACTCCCAGCGATCCCACTGAAGTCAGGAACAAGACAAGGTTGTCCACTCTCTCCATATCTATTCAATATAGTTCTTGAAGTCCAAGCTAGAGCAATAAGACACCAAAGGGAGATCAGGGGGATGCAAATTGGAAAAGAAGTCAAACTCTCACTGTTTGCTGATGATATGATAGTTTACATAAGTGATCCCAAAAATTCTACCAAGGAACTTCTACAACTCAAACACTCTCAGCAATGTAGCGGGATACAAGATTAACCAAAAAAAAAAAAAAAAAAATCAGTAGCCCTCCTGTACACAGATGATAAAAAGGCTGGGGAAGAAATCAGAGAATCAACACCTTTCACAATAGCCACAAATAGCATAAGATACCTTGGAGTAACTCTAACCAAACAAGTGGAAGACTTGTATGACAAGAACTTTAAATCTTTGAAGAAAGAAGTGGAAAAAATCTCCCATGCTCTTAGGTAGGCAGAATTAACATAGTAAAAATGGCAATCTTACCAAAAGTAATTTACAGATTCAATACAATGCCCATCAAAATCCCAGCAAAATTCTTCAAAGACCTCGAAAGAACAGTACTCAACTTCATATGGAAAAGCAAAAAACCCAGGATAGCCAAAACAATCCTGTACAATAAAAGAACTTCTGGAGGCATCACAATCCCTGACTTCAAACTCTACTACAGAGCTAGAATACTGAAAACAGTCTGGTACTGGCATAAGAACAGACAGGAAGACCAATAGAACCGAATAGAAGACCTGGATATCAATTCATACATCTTCGAACACCTGATTTTTGATCAAGAAGCAAAAAATATCAAATGGGGAAAAAAAAGCATATTTAACAAGTGGTGCTGGCATAACTGAATATCAACATGTAGAAGAATGAAAATAGACCCATATCTATCTCGATGCACAAAATTTAACTCCAAATGGATCAAAGACCTCAACATAAAGCCAACCACACTAAACCTTATAGAAGAGAAGTGGGAATTGCACTTGAACTCATTGGCACAGGGAACCACTTCCTAAATATAACCCCAGCAACACAGACACTGAGAGAAACAATTAATAAATGGGACCTCCTGAAACTGAAAAACTTCTGTAAAGCAAAAAACACAATCAACAAGACAAAACGAGAGCCGGGCGGTGGTGGCGCACGCCTTTAATCCCAGCACTCGGGAGGCAGAGGCAGGCGGATCTCTGTGAGTTCGAGACCAGCCTGGTCTACAGAGCTAGTTCCAGGACAGGCTCCAAAGCCACAGAGAAACCCTGTCTCGAAAAAC